ACATACACACAGCCAGGAGGGCGAAGGGTGGAAGAGAGGGAAGGGGAGGGAGGAGAGGGAGGGGTGCCTTCTTGGGGGCGCCCGCCGCGGCGTCGCCCACCCCCGCGGCGGGCGCCGCGGCCCTCGGCGCCCAGGGGCGGGCGCGGAGCCCGAGCGGGCGGCGAGGGCTCCCTCCTCCGCCTCTTTTTCTTCCCATCTTCCTCTTTCTTTACTTTCCCCCCCCTTCTCTCCTGCTCTCCTGCTCCCCGTTTCCTTCGTTTCCTCGAGTATCCTCCCTCGCCTCTCTCATTTCGCCTTATGCCCCTTGCTATTTCCCCCTCCCTCCTCCGCCCCCTCTTCCTTCCCTTTCCTGCCCCTGCGCCTCCCCCTTCTGAACTCCTGCCTCCTCCGCCTCCTCTCCCCTCCCTCCCCCCTCTGCCCCCTCTACCTGCCCCGATTGCCCATTAGGGGGGCGGCCAAGATTCGCGCGGGCGAATCCAACGCAAACGTGTTCGACTTGCTGATTAAGACATAACTAGACAATCACTTGTGTTTTTAGCTGTTTCGCGATACATAACTATATGCGTGTTCTGTGATACTTATGTACAAGTTGCGACGATAACCATATGATGGCAATTTGGAACCTCTGGGGCGAGCCGACGCCAGAGGAGAGACAGCGGCACGAGGAGAACCAGCGCTGCCCACCGCGGTGCTGGCGCGAGCACTGCCAGATGGCACGGGGGCGCGACAGGCCCCGCGAGCTGCTAGATGCGGAGGCGGGGTGCCTTCCCGTGATCGGGCTCGAGCTGGCGTTTTTCAAGGGCGAGGCGGCCGACGACGCCGAGGCGGGCCCCTTCGCCGAGGGCGGCCAGAGACAGGGCGAGGAGGCGGTACCGGTGGTCGCGGATGCCGACACGGGTGCCACGAGGGGCGCCCCGAAGCCTGACCGACGCGCTGACCCTTGCGCGGCGGCAGCCGCGGTGGCGTTCGTCAAGGGCCTTTTTCCATCAGAAGGTTATCTTAAGGTCAGACCACGAGGGTGCCATGATGGACCCGGCCGACAAGGTCGAGGCAGAGTTGCCCGACCGCGCGGTCGCGAGACCTGCTCCCGCGCTCAGCTCCTGGTCGAACCCTTCCGAGAACGCCGGCGGCATCCAGGCGCAGCTCCGCGCGACCAGGGGCGCGCTGGAGGCGCGACTGGGGGCCAGGGCCCGACAAGGGCACGGCCGCGCACGAGTGGTTGCAGCGCCGCGCGGGCTGGGCATGCACCAACCTGAGGATCAAGGCGAGCGGTCGCGCCGCGCATGAGGACCTCTATGGCCGCGCCTACGCCAGGGAGATGGCCGCCCCAGGGGAGTCCGCCCTGGCGCGCCTACCTAGGGGCAAGAATCGCAGAGCGAGAGGCAAGGTGCACCACAAGAGCGACATGGGCTTCGCGAGGGCGATCTGGCAAGGGAAGAGCCACGACACCGACGAGCAAAGATGCGCCCTCGAGACGAGCGAGCTAGTCACGACGAGGACCGTCAAGAGGCTGCCCGAGGAGCGAGGGTTCAATCGCACCGCCTTGGCGGCGATCACGCACATGCCATGGCAGCGCCGAGGGGGGGCACGGTCCCGCGCGGGATCGAGCCGATCGTTGCGCCCCCTGCCGCTGCGGACGCCGATCTGGCCGCCCATGGCGGCGGCCCAGCAGCCCAGACGGGCGCGCCCATGGCGGCGCCCTCGGCCAACGCGACGGGCGCCGCCGGGGCGCCCGCTGGGGATCGGCTGGAGGGGCCAGCGGCGCAGACATCGGCCGCGGGAGCTGCTGGGGACGACGCCCCCATGACACCGCGGGCTGCAGCGCCATCGAGTGCGGCTCCGCAGTCACCCCTGGTGGGGCGATCACCGAAGTGACCTGCGGAGGAGGGCGACAACCGCGGCGCCCTTGCGAGGTCCCGAGTTAGCGGGGCAGCCGCTGAGCACGGCGATGACGTTCGGCCTGACTTCCTCAAGATCCTCAGGGACGTGGATGTCCCAGACCCCCGCGATGCGTCGGACTCGCAGTTGATCGAGGCTTCCACCAAACGGGCCCTTGACGGCCTGAAGCAGCATGGGGCGGGCAAGCTCGTCAAGCGGAGCGAGGCCGCTGGCGAGAGGATCAGCGCCCGCTGGGACCATGTCTACAAGTGGGACGCGAACCTCGGGTGCAGGATCGCTAAGTCAACGTACGTCGCGCGAGAATTCAAATGGCAGGAGTGCCGCGACGACCTTCGCGCCAGGAAGCAACGTGGCCGACGGCCGAGTGGTGGACTACGTGGCTCTGAAGCACGGATGGCCCACCTTCACCGCTGACGCGGAGGACGCGCACTGCCATGTCCCCGAGGAGGAGGGCGCGCGGGTCGGGTGCCCGCCATTCTCCCTGGAAGAGTGCCGCGCGAAGGGCGACGCCGAGGACTGCGCGTGGCAGCTCGTGAAGCAGCTGCCAGGCCGGCGTGCCGGAGGGAAGCGCTGGGTCGAGTTCGCCGCGGGGCAGATTATGGCCAGGGGCTTCGAGCGGTCGCCGACCGCGCCCCGGTTCTTCTGGCGCGGCGAGCTCCCGTGTCTGGTGGAGGTGCACATGGGCGACATGCACGGCGCTGCGCCTGGAGTTGCAGGGCCCGGCTTCGCATTGGGCCTAGGCCGTGACGCCGAGGTGAAGTGGATGGGCCTGCAGGGCGACTGTTCCGACTGCGAGTTTCTCAAGAGGCGGCGCGTGCGGGGGGCCGACGCCACGCGCGCCCAGCCCAACGAGAAGTGCCCCACGAAGGCGTTGGAGGCGAAAGGCCTTGAGGAGGCCAACCGGCGCGCCACCCCAGGGGTGGAGGCGCGCGGGGCAGGCAGGGGCGACACACCCGACCTCAGCCCAGACGAGGCTAAGTTGTTCAGGAGCGCGACCATGTGCCTGCTGTTCTACTTGCACGACCGCGAGGATGCCCAATTCGACGTCAACTACCTGGCCTCGCGCATCTCATCGCCCCGCGAGGCGGACATGCGAGCCCTCGAGAGGCTGGCAAGGTACCTGAAGGGCACGAGGGACCTGGGCGTGAGGATGGCCAGGCCTACCACGCCGCAGGACATCGTCGACCTGGTCGCGTGGACAGACTCCGACTGGGCGGGCGACACGAGGGGGGGGAAGAGCCAGACCAGCGTGCACATCACCGCGCGCGGGTGTCCAATGCTCGGGATCAGCCGTCGTCAAGGCGCGCCGTCCCTTAGCAGTTGCGAAGTCGAGTGGCACGCTGGAGTTCGAGGTCTCAGCGAGGGACTCGGGCTGAAGGCGCTATTCACGCTCATGGGCTACAGTGCGCGCGTGAACTGGCGATGCGACAGCTCGAGTGCGAGGGCGCTGGCGAGGCGTCGGGGGCGCTGAGCGGATCAAGAACATTGCCACCAAGACGCTCTGGATCCAGCAGTTGGTGGCCAAGAAGGCCATCGCCATCAAGCCTGCGGGCGGCGATAGCAACCTTGCGGATCTTGGCGCCGAGGTGTTGCCGAGGACACGTCTCGAGCGGCTCCGTGAGAGCTGCGGGTTGAAGGGGGCGCCCGTGCCAGGGGCCTCGAGGGTTGCTGGAATGGGGGCCATGCCGACCGACTTCCAGGCCCAGTCGAACCTGCTGAAGGCGTCACTTGCAGCGGCCGCGTCGCTCCCCACAGCGGCGCAGAGAAGCTCGGCCGAGCTGTGCGAGGTTCCACGAGAGACGGACGTGAGCGCGCTGACTCCAGTGACCACGCTGGGAGTCGCGACAGAGGGCTACTACGTGAGCCTGACTGCGCTGATGGTGGGCGTGAGCCTAGGGCTCCTGCGCGCTGTGCTGTTTCTGCCCGCGTGCGAGGCCGAGCTGGCGCCGCGCGGGTGCCCTGCCGCGCGGCGGCGGCGGCGGGAGGCCACATCATGCTCCGATCGAGGGGTTGGTGAGCCAGTAGTGAAGCTCAAGTCTAAGAAGGGCGACCGCAGGAGGACGGTTGCCGCCCAGAGCCAGGTCAAATATGCTTGGTAGGGGGCCGCGAGCTCCCTACCAGTTGTCCTGGAGGTTGGTCCGAGTAGGGGCCTCCGGAGCTAGCCCCCGTTTGCTTGGAGGTTGGTCCGAGTAGGGGCCTTGAGCTGTTGTTGTTTAGATGCGCTGCAGGCGCGAACATAGACCTCCGTGACTTCGCGTCGAGGCACTGCGGGATGCAATGTTCTTGTCTAGGCCCCTGGAGGGAGTGGTGATCCCGAGGGGTGTCCGAGGAGGAGCGGGCCCACCACCCGCTCCCCGCTCGGCCAGGCGGCGTGCTCGGGATCTTGAGTGATTCGGACGCCATCAATTCGTGACTTTCCCGCAGGCCCCTCTGTTCGAGTTGTGATGGAGGAAGAAGAGCCCCAATATACGCTTTCCCCACGCATCCGCGTAACTTCCGCCACATTTTGAAAACCACCCGCCCTCCAGTTGTGAAGCTGCTGTCAATCTCCTACTCTTAAAGGTCATGGGCGGTGCGGAAATCTCAGGCGAAGCGCCCAGCATGCCCTTTCGAGCGGCGTCGGGGTGCGACAGGGCGGAGTTGATGATAAGGGTAATGAGTGGAGGAGGAGGAGGAAGAGGAGGAGGAGCAAAAAGAAGCATATGAAGGACAATGGTGAATACGACCCAAACGAATAATAATAATAACTTTCAAGATAAGAATTACTTCACGAATCATAATAGTAAGAAAATGACGAACAAAAAGGAACCATATCAGTAACGAATGAGACGAATCATAGTAATGCTGACCACACGAGCAATACTACGATTAAGAGTCATGAAATTAAGACGGGGACTTCTAATACCAGTACTAATAAAGGGGGGAATCACAAGAGGATTCGCCACAACAATGATACTAATAAGAGCAATACAATCTTAGGAATAAGACTAATACGACTAATAACACTAGTAAGACACATAAGAAGAGGAGGATGTGGAGGAGAAGGAGGAGGAGGGGGGATGATCACCACCATCCCGTTGAGACTGCGCTGTTCTCCTAAGGTGTGGCAGCCAGCCTACCCGAGACGAAACCATTCAGCGCCTGGGCCTCGGGACAGCAGCTCCCAGATACAAGCTGAGAGTGTCTTTCTCGTCCCTCTCCCTCCCTTCCTCCCTTTCCCCTCCTCCCCCTCCTCCTTCCCCCTCCTGGCCCCCCGCCCCCTCCCACATCCTCCTCGCCCTCCCCCATTTCCTCCTCCCCCTCCTCATGGGGAGCGCTGTGCCTCCTCCTTCTCCTCATCCTGATCTCCTCCCCCTCCTCCTCTCTCCTCCCTTTCCTCCTCCGCCTCCTCCTTCTAACATCCTGTGCACCTCATTTCCTTGTGTCCTGGCCGCGTGGTTGATAAGATAGGCAACGCATGTTTGCACATCGTCTGTTCGAGAACCCCCGTCAACACGGTAAGTGTCACATGTTGGGCTGTGTATTCCGCCAGCATTTTCTCTCTTCGTCTTCCCTCTTCCTTCTCTCTCCTCCTCTTATCTCCTCCTCCTCGTCCTCCTCCTCGTCCTCCTCCTTCGCTTCCTCTTTCCTCCTCCTTTCTCCTCCTCCTCTTCCTCTTCCTCCTCCTCGTCCTCCTCCTCCTCTTCCTCCTCCTCTTCCTCTCTCCTCCTCCTCCTCCTACTCCTCCTCGTCCTCTTCCTTCTCCTTATCCTTCTCTTTTCCTTTTCCTCCTCCTCCTCCTGCTCCTCCTCCTCCTGCTCCTGCTCCTCTTCCTTCATCCTCCTTCCGTGAGGCCATGGGGGAGGTCGGGGACCTTCGCCAGGTGTCCCCAGCGATGGTGGCTAGGAATGCGAAGCTCGCAGCAAGGCGTCTCTCTGACCGTGAAGGCTTGGCCAAGATTGACCAAGGCAAATGATGGACTGGCGACATTTTTTGGCGACCCCTCAATGAGCTTTCACACCGCAGGCGGAAGGCCTCGCTAGAGGAGGAAGTTGGGGTGTCGGACGGGCGGTGGGGGATTCGGGAGCAAAGAGTCCTCCGTGGCCTCGTCATTGGCTCGCATTGGTGCCAAGCGAGGTTGAACAAGCTTGACACTCAGTTGCCAGCGCAGTGCCTCATTTGCGGGCATGTTAGAGGCAGTTTGTTCCATCGCCAATTCGAGTGCCCAGCCCGCCAAGCATGGAGGAGGGACTTCCTCCCACAGGACCTGGTAGCCTCTGTTTAGACGCTTGCAAGCTGGGCCCGAGCAGTTGCGAGAGCGTTTTTCTAGAGGGATCCTGCCTGGTCCGTGCCAAGCCTTCTCCCGCCCAAGGTGGAACGAAGAGTGGGAGCTCAAGGTTGAAAGGTTTGCTCCGCCCCTGGCTTTGGACGGGGGCCATGTTTTTTGCAGTGGCTCAGATATCGACGGGCTGTTTCCGTTTTTTCGGGTTGTTGGTTGGGGAGTGGCAGTCTACGATCATGAGTGCCGACCCTTAGCGGGGTGGTATGGAGCGGCCCCCCGCATTTGGGCCCCGACCAAGTAGCTCGAGGCGGGGAAGATTATGCTGTGCTCATGGCCCTGAAGCATTTCGTAGGCAGATATACGATACATTCCGATTGCAAAGGGACGGTTCAGTGCTGTTGGGCTGCGAGATCTGCGCAGCGGCCTGACAACACCAGAGCCCACTTGTGGAAGGAGGCGTTTCGAGAAGGAAGGCCTGAGCTGGTGGATTTCTGCAGGGTGGCGGCCCACGCCTCCATGGCTGACGTCCGAGATGGACGGATCAGCCTGTTTGAGAGGGAGGGCAACGACCAAGCCAATAGGCTCGCGAAGGCGAGGGCTGAGCTGTGCAGATGCCCGAACAATGTGGTCATGATGGCCAAAGGTATGCTCCATGTTTCGCGTCTGCTACTCCAGTTCATTAGCAGGGCAGCGGCCCATTTTTCCGACGAGGGACAGTGGGACAATGCAGGGGCCCAGGTGCTCACGATGATCTCCCTGGAACGGGGGATCGGAGATGGAGGAGGCGCTTGCTGAGGCTAGGAGGAGGTCTGTCGAGGAGAGGGGGGTCGGTCTGCCGTTGCTCCTGCCTGCCCTCCCCAGGACCCTCCTCCGCCCTCGCGCCATCCCCAAGAGCCCAAGGCGCCAGAGTTAGTGGCGCAAGCGTTCGATGGTCAGCAGTCTCCAGCCTTGATAGGAGGACATGTCCTGCTTGAGTTCTCGATCGCGGCTGAAGGGCAGCCGCCGATCCCTTTTTGCTCGACCTGTGGGGCATACGCCATGGTGTCTGTGGGATCTCGTGGCATCAGAAGGGGATGCGAAGGCTCCCAGCATGCCCTTGTAGACCCTGGCAGGAAGAATTCGAGGGCGGTTTCCAGAGGGAAGCACCCCAACAGGCCTCTCAAGCTGGGCCCTTGGAGAACTCCTGGGGCCTGGGCGCGGGAGCTGGTTGGGGGAAAGGAGGAGCCCAAGCAGGCCCAGCAGGAGGAAGTCGTTTTTTGAGGCCCGAAGCGGGCCGAGATACATTTTTGTGCCTGGCTGATGTCCTCCAGGCCTTTGGGCTGAATTAGTCCGAAGCGGCCGAGTTGGGACCAAAGCTGCAAGAGCGTACCCCAGACCACGATCTGGAGGACGCGGAGGCGGTCTGCTGATACCCAGGGGGGCCCTGTCGTTGGCGTTTGGCATGTCGTTGGTTTCCTGCCAGGGTGACAAAAAGGTCCACTCCGATGGGCCCCCCTGGGTTTTTTGGAACCGTCGAACCTCTTTCCCCCCTTTCCTTTCAGTGGCGTGCGATCCTCCTCCTCCTTCTCCTCCTCCTCCTCCTCCTCCTCCTCTTCCTCCTCCTCCTCCTCCTCCTCCTCCTCCTCCTCCTCCTCCTCCTCCTCCTCCTCCTCCTCCTCCTCCCCCTCCCCCTTCATTTCCTTCCTCCCCCTCCTGTTGCCGGTGCTCTCCTTCCGCCTATCTGGCTCCTACTCCCTCATGCTTCCCCCCCCCCTCCCCCCGCTGGTCTCCTCCGAGGCGGTAATTTATACATAACCACCGCCTTGGGGGTCGATCTGCTCGGGTGGATACAAATCATTTCGGACCCCCGGGGGCCAAACATATCCAGATCCGCCGCCCGCTGATGCACCAGGACGTTGGTTCCCAGGCGGTGGATATGGATAAATCCCCGCCTCGCACCACCCCCCTGCTGCTCCATAGCCCGGGGAGAGCGGCCACCGCGGAGGACGCACGGCGCGCATGCACGCGCGCCGACGTGTTTTTCGGCGGCGCGCCGATGGGGGTCAATTTTTTGCGGTGCCGAGCGAAGGGGGGGGGAAGTGAGAGAAATAAGGCCCTGTCAGAAGGCAGCGGGGCTTGTCAGAAGCCGTTTGGCCTCCTGAGAGGTTTCTTGTGTCTCCCGGGAAAGCTCACACAATTTCTCGGAAGGCTGAGGGACTTCTGAGCCTTCTGAGAAGGCCCGCCCCTTCTCACTTGCCCCTCGGGCTCGCCACCAAGAGAGGGTTCAACGTTTTCTGCCGTGTTCGTCGGCTCGCCGAGGTTTCCAGGCTCAGGGTGCTTGCCAACAGCTGCGCTTGGCTGGGAGCGTTCCAGGGGTGCCCGGACGGGGCCCAGATCGTCCCGAACGCCGCCGGAGAGTAGGCTAAGCGTGCGTTTCGTATTAGATTTGCCAGAGGCCCCGGTCACGAGCCCCCGAGATTGTCCAGACCCACGCAGGTGGCAGGTGGCTAGAGCCGGGTCTGTCGGGTGACCTTCTGCCTTGGCATGGCTCGGACGTGTGCGTTTTTTTCGGCGAGGACCCTTGGGGAGCGTCTTGGATCATCATGCGGAATCATATACGCACGAAGCCGTCCAGAGGCTTCTCACTGCTTCCCGCGTTGCTGAGGAATGGCCGCGGTACACGATGCATCCAGACCCGCCAGTTACCAACGATTTTCTGTGATGATGTGTGCACACATTGTGCGAAGAATTTCCCAAGCAGGGATGACCAGAGGAGTTTGTCGGGAGGCTTGGCTTGGGTTGGCGAGAGGATTGGCATGGTTCGAGGTTTGCCCCCACACGGTACCAGATGTTTTGCCATCGTCGTGTATTTTCTCAGAGGTTTGGACCTCTTCTTGGAGATGGGTAGGGGTGCGGGCTGTCTGACCTCGGGGGAGGATCCCATGCAAGAGGGGACCTCCCATCGGACATCACGTACCCATAGCACCCTTCGTCCCGCATATGGGTAGGGCTGTGCGTTGTTCGTTTGTCAGATTTGAGGCTGTTTTTCTTCAAGCTCTGGCGAGTTTACTGAAATGGAAGGGGGGGCCCAGCGAGGCCCTGAAGAAGCTCTGGATTTAATGTACGTCGAAACTCACTTGCACGGCGTGTCGGCCCAGCATTGTTTCATAAGGCGGCGGAGGGGGGAGGGGGGGGAGTCAAGTCCTATGCAAGCTATTTCGCTTCAGGTCAGCGACAACTTGCGCTCAGGACGCGAAAAAATACAGCATTGCGAAAAATCACGACCAGAGCCCTACAGACCCAATTTTTCTGCGCTATCTCTTGAGCCAGGTCGATCTGTGAGAGTCCTGGGGCCCGAGTTCGGGCGACAAAGCCTGGCTCGAAAAAATTGAGGTCCCTTGCAAAAGTGGCTCTTTTCTCACGACGCCGTGGCGAGGACACCAGCCGCGCGGCGCAGACGGCGGCGAGTCCCAGCCCTGGCGGCGCTCGCAGCCCCTGCCGGCCTGCGAGCCTCCGGCGCCCCCCCCTGTGCCGGCGCAGTCCGAGCCAGGGGCGCCCGGCGTTTGCGACAAATCGGCCACGCACAGAGGGGGGGAGCCTTGATCAGTCGTTGCGAAAAACAATATCGGCCCGAAACCCTGACCCCACCTTTCTGCGTCATTTTTCGAGCTGGATCGATCAGACAAGCAGTGGCGAAACGCCCTGGCTCGCCTGTAGGCCTACCAAAGAATGTTGTAAGAACCCTTTGTGGTTTCAACGACATGTTCTTATAATCTTAGAAGATTTCTCGTTGGGACTGTCTTGTTTTAAAGCATCGGGCTTATGTTCTAAGAACATTGATTTCGTTATTCGAACAATTTGGGGTTCTAGAACATGTCGTGGTAGGCCTCTAGGAATGCCAGGACGGTCGGCCCTTGCTCAAATCTGTGAGGGTCCTGGGGCCCGAGATCGGACGAACACGCCCGGTGTGAAAAAAATGCAACGCCCAGATCTGAGGGAGGGGGCGAGGGGCAAGGCTTCTTAGAGGCACCTCTGTTCCGTAGAAGGCGCGGGCCTTGTCTGTAAATGTAGGGCTGGCGCCTTCTGAGAAGTGGCCTCCTTCTAAGAAGCCTTCCCCCCTCTTCCTACCCGCTTGTGCGCGCCGCCAAGTCCCAGGGGGCGTCCTGGCCGACCCCGGACCCCTGTCAGACCGACTCCAAGACATGCTTCGCGGCGCGAAAAGAACAGCAGGGTAGGCGGTTTTTGGCCCTGCTTGAGCCGGGCCCTGGGGCTGTCACAAAGGGGCTCAGGATGAAAAGCCGGCCACTGCGAAAGGGTCGGGACTTCCGGGGACCCTGTATTGAAAAAATCAAGACGTCGGATGTTTGGGCTTCTTCATCGTCCGCCGGCAGGTAACATGGTTCAGCGCAAATGGGGTTTAGTTTAGCCAGAGCGCCGGGTCTTGCAGGGTTTATGATCCGCTCGCGGCCCTGAAGTTAAGTCGGGTTTGTCCCTCCACAGGAGAAACATTCAAACATAGTTTTTAAAACATAGTCTGGGGACTATTTTTGCGATTATTTTATTTGTCCTTTACTCTTTTAAATTTTTCGTCCAAGCTCGGCCTGTAGGAGGGCACGCCCGAATTGGTCTGAGCCTGGTCTGGGACCCCCCCAGCAAACACAGCAGCGTAGGTTTTTCTGATTTGGCTGAGCGAGGTTTGCGCTGACCCGGGTTAGTCCACGCCCGACCTCGAGAAAGATAAGGTGCATAAGCATAGATTTTCTCAGATCCGCGCGGATTTCTTGGATCTGCGCTGGCACCCCCTCTGGCGGCGCCTCTGGCGCCGCCCCTGGCGCGCTCCGCGCGCCAGGGATCAAGGTTCGGCGCAGGTCCAATGAATCCGCGCGGACCTCCGACTGTCCGCGACGACCCCTTTGCCTCGCTCCAAGACGTGGGCATGCGGCCAGAGGAGAGCCTCGAGGGTGACGGGCTGGTCATGGAAGGGGCTCGGCACAGACCCCCCCTTTGGCATCGCTCGTTCGATGTCTCCCCCTCTGAACTTGGTCACTTTCCTTATCCTAGGGCCACCACGAGGGTGCGAATTGAGTCGCGCTTCGCGGTCTGGGCCGATTTCAGAGCGAGGCGCGAGTCCCTCATCCTACACTGGGGAGGGGGGCGGCGCGAAAGCGCGAGGATAGTTGCCCTAAAAGCAAGCCACTCCCCCCCATATCGTCGCCACTCACGTGGAGACGCAGCGCAGCCGAGGCCCCCCTTCACCGACAAAAAGGTACACCTTGCCTGCAGAGCCTGCCCGCGCAGGCGGCCCGCTGGGGCGAGCTCGCGCGTGCCGCCGCCGCCGACTCCGCCTCGAGCGCGGAGTTCTCCGAGGCGCTCGCGGAGGAGGAGGAGGAGCAGGAGGAGGAGGAGGAGGAAAAGGAGGAGGAGGAGGAGGGCGATCGCGGCCTGAGGTGTCGTCGCTGTCGCAGGACCGGTCACGAGCTGCATCCTCACGCGCTTGGGCTTTGCATCGAGTGCAACTACTTGGCCATGACGCTTCAGGCATGAGCCCACTGCACGGTGCAAGTCCACCTTGACTCACTTTTCGTCTTTCTCTCCACATGGGCCCCTGCAGGTTCCTCGTGACTGGTACCCTCGGCTGAGTCCTCACGCTTGGCTCTGCGGGCAGTGCGTGCCACCGAGGTCCCGTCGGCTAAACGTGACGACAACTGTGAGAATGTCGACGTGGTGCATGCCGAACGCATCATTCTATTCCTTCGAGGTGGCGGCCCTGTGGGAGGAGTTGACCATTGACAATTATAAGGACTGTTGATCCACCTCAGCGCCCTGTGCTCGACATTGCGGATGAGGGCCGCCACGTACCTTTGCACGCTGGAGAGGCTCCGCAGACAGGCCGAGTAGCGCATGCAGTACGGCTCGCCGCGTTGCCGCGCCCTGGCGCAGATCTCTTTGGCCGATTGGTCCGTGGTCCTGCGGGGCCTCGCTCTCGCGTTGTCGAAGCGGCTCTTCCGGATCAGCTCGGTGACGTACGGCGCGCACCACTTGGCCCAGTCGTCCTACGAGACGGGCTCCTCGCCGAGGCCCACGTCCATGAGCTGCCGCTCGGCCCAGTGGCTCACCGTCTTCTCGATGACTGGTGGCTGCTGGCTGGGCTCCTGTTTGACGGGTCACAGGTTTCCCCGCGGAGGGGCGCAGAGCCATCGCCAGGATCGCGGGGATCGGGTGGTTGCGGCTGCGGGGAACCGTCGTCGATCCACCACTCTGCAGTGGTCCATCTCGATGTTCTGCTCCCCCAGCGCCTCGATGAACCCGTCGTGATCCACTCGCTCCATCTCGTTGAACCTGTGTCTGAGGTGGCGCCTGCCAGTGCCGAAAGCTCTCCTGTCGCACGTTTCCCTGGCCATGCGTAGCCTCTCTACCGTGTCGCCGCCGTCCTCGAATAAGCTGTCGCAGGCCTCCGTGCGCATGTTGTGATTGCCATTCCAGTCATGTCCGTCACGTGCGTCTTCTCCTCCCCCCGGCCTTGGGGTTCGGGGCCCATGACCTGGCGGTCTCCGTCATCATCGGCTCCTCCATAATGATCGGCTCCTCGGGGGAGACGCGCGAGTTCCACTTTTGGAGATGTCCCAGGTGGGACGCGGTTCACCGCGCCGAACTGCGGGCTGGCGGCCTGAGCGAGGCCGCTTTGCTGGCGCGCCGACCCGCCGAGGTCGCGTTCTCTGGAGTGCTGTCCTCGGACGCGCGCCTGGCCGCGCCTGCAGCGCAAGCCCGGCAGCAGGCGCCGCCGCCCCCGCTGCCGCCCTCGTTGCTCAGCACAGGCGGTTTCCCCATCATGATCGGGTCATTCCTGTCGCCGTTCGCGCCCTCGCTGGTGTTGGCGATGCCGCCCTTGCCTTCGCCACCCGCAGCGCTGCCGTCCGCACCTGGCGGGTCCTGGCAGGGCCGTCGGGTGGCCGCCGCTGCGTTCCCGACCGCCCGCCGCAGCCTCCGCAGGATGCTGAAGCAGCGGCCTCGACATGGTGCCAGATCGAACCCTAATTCTCCGTTACCCGTCATTGCCACGGTAGGCCAATACCTTACCGTCGGAAGCACGCCTCCTCGTAGCTCTCCTGCTTGTCGGTGCTGTCCTGGTCGATGCACTCCTGGCTGGACGTCCACTGCTCCCTCGGCCGCGGCTGCATTCCCGACCGCCCGCCACGGCCTCCGCAGGGTGCTGAAGCAGCGGCTCCAGTGATGAGTTGGATGAGCTCGTTTCCTTATGCACTGCTTTGCCGATCGGCGCGGGCCCTCGCACCCCCTCTCCCCGCCTCCCCCACGGATTAGATATTGGCTGTTTTGGGCGCATGTTTCAAGCAGGTGGAGTCTCCCTCATCGGACGCACTGATGCAAACAGTCGCGTTAAGCAGAGGTCCAGAGCCAGATCCCCCCCCCTTCCGCCCAGTGTCGGAACGCCGAATAAGAAGACGCTCACGATCCCAGCACGCCTCCTCGTAGCTCTCCTGCTTGTTGGCGCTGCCCTGGCCGATGCACTTCTCGCTGGGCGTCCTCCCATGGCAACTCCCGACTCCTTTGCCCTGCAGCGGGGGGCTCACCGCTGGGTTGTTGGGTGGCCGCATCTGCGTTCCTGACCGAACCTTCGTTCCTTCAGGCGTTCACTGGTCCCTGCCGCCGCGGACCTCGTTCGCTGTCACCGCCGAGACTCGGGAACCACGGCGCCGCTTGCCCAGCGCCTTTGCCTGCTTTCCCGTCCTGGCCTTCTTCTTGCACAATATGCAGCTCCACGTGCGCCCGTCCAGGTGCATGGTGTGACAGTCGCCAGGATGTGGGGTGGGCACTGGCCGCGCCTGGGAGCCCTACTTGTCGCTGATCTTCTTGCCCCGCCTGGCGCAACGCCATTTCTGCTTAGTGGACGGCACCCAGTCGGGCTGCAGCGCTCCAATAGTCAGCCCTGCGTTGACGTAGGCGATGCGGCAAGCAATCTGCCTGATCTGCTTGAGGTTGGCCTGTGCGAGCATGACAGGTGGGCCGTCGACGTCGTGCAGGTCCGAGCCAAGGTTTACCATGCCGTCCGCCCAGTCGTTGCCTTTCTTGTGGACGCCCGCCCGCACTCTGATGACCTCCAAGGTGCATCACTTGCACGCGTTCGCTTCCTCCCAGCCCAAGGTGCCGATGCAACGCGAGCTCCCATATATCACGATTTGCACGCGATGGGGCAACAGCTCATCCCATCCCCAGCTGCATCCCCTGGACGAACGGCAGGTGGTCAGAGTGCAGCTTGAGGGGTGGCACCGCAACTCGCAGTACCTGCATGATGGCCCACAGCTCCGCCCTCGGTAACGTCTGTGTTTGGCCAGCGAGCGCGCCTTGCGTGCCCGTGATCGCGTGTCCGTTTGCTAGGTGGTGATGCAGGGTGCGCCAGAGGTGGTGATGCAGGGTGCCGATCTGTCCGCATCCTAGGCACTAGTCGTGGCTGTCGCATGTGTGATCCTCTTCTGGCCCCAGTGGGCCCTGATGCCGACCGACCTGACCGCGCCCTTGGCAGTGCCGTCGAGCTTTCACTTGGGTTTCCACCTCGGCCGAAAGAGCTCCGGCAGCGGCTCCATCGAGTGGCCTTTGGTTGGCCTAGGTGGTGGCACTCCTTGCGCGGGCCTTGTGCCCGATGAGCAGCTTTGCGCCCGCGCCAGCCTTCTCGGCGCCTGGCCCGCCCGCCGCACTTTGTCGAAGCACTTCTCGATTTCCATGAGCGCAACCGTCGTGGGGTTGCCCTGCATCTGTGCTTCGGCATGTACCAGGCGGCGACTGGTGACGCCGATTCTAGCTTCCCCCGTGCCTGGCGCCAGCCATGGTGGTAGCTGCCGCTGCAGTGCCCGCTGCTGCACCGCGAGCGCTCGCGCCCTCGCCCACGGCCGATATACAGCGACCGCATAAGGGCGATGGGCCTGAAACCCGCCTCCAAACTCGGGCCATTCGCGGCCTCTGCCAGCATGACGATGTGCACCTTTAGCGTTTTCTTTGGCCAGGTGCCCCGCAGCTCCGCGGCGTGCAGGAATCCCTTGCTGCAGCTTCCGGCTGGGACGAGAGAAGTCCCAGTGCCGGGGGTAGAAAACATCCGGCCCCAAGCCAAAGTCTTCCCCGGGAACGTGCGGGCCACCACTCTGGGCCACGCGGCTGCCAGTGGCCTCGCGTCGTCGGTGGTGGTGGCGTCGAGGTCACGGCGGAGGTACAGGAAGAGGGAGTGGGAGTCGGCAGGGTTGCCGTCGCTCTTTCACCTTCCCAGATGCCCGCCCACTTGGTCTGGAGGTGCCTGACCACGTCTGCTGGCGCCGCCGACCTCTGTCCTTGCATCTCGGCCTGGCCCAGCCGCCACCCATTCGGCTTGGTGGCCGCGCGCCGGATCTTACGGTTTTTCTCTGACTTCTCCAAGCCCCATTCTGCATGTTTTTGTTTCCTTTTGTTGGGCAAACTTGAGCTCCTCTTGATGGGCCATGCCTCCCAGCCGCACTTCGATCCCACCAAGGATCGTCACGGTGGCCAGCGGGGCGCAGTGCTCACGGGCGACGTTTAGCACAAACCTCTCAGGCGACATGCTGGTATAGGCACCCCAGATTCACAACCCTAATGGCATCCCGACGTAGGAGGCAGAGAGTATTTGGGCATTCCAAGGGGATGCCACCAGGGATTGCTCTCGCCACAGTCTAAAATTCTGTCACTCAGACACTTGCAGGCGAATGTACCATGAACTGAGATGCGCATTGGGATTTTCGCGTCGAGTAATTTGTTTTGAGGCTTACGCCATACCGCCGATCCCTTGGGGCATTTTGGTTTCCCAAGCCATTTTCCCGTTGTCGCCATGGAGCAACGCTTGCCACAGTTCGCCCTCAGGAGCTTGTGGATCCACAGGCGGAAGTCGGGAGGCTTTGGGATAGTGCATGTCTGAAGGGTCAGCGTAGTGGCGGTTACCGGCGTTCTGGGGCGCATCGTGGGGCGTCTTGGGGGTTTGTTGGGGGCCTCTTGAGGTATCTTGGGGACATTTTGGTGACGTCGTGGGCCGTAGTCGGACGCTTTGGAGCCGCTTGGCGCCTTGGGATGCCATTATGGTTGCCTCTCTGGGGGAGTCTTGGGAGCCTCCTGGGGCACCTTTGGGCCCTCTTGGGCCCCTCCCAAGGGCTTCCTTGGCCGTCTTGGGGCCCTCTCGGAGGTCTCCTGGGCCGTCTTGGTGCGGTCTTGGGGGCAGTCTTTCCCGCCTTGAAGGTGAAGTGGCGAAGGTGCTGAAACTGTCAGTTTTCGTAAGGGATTGTTGCGTGTCAGTGCCCTCTTGGGGGTCCTCTTGGGGCCTTCCTGGGGGCGTCTGAGGACTTTCTTAGGCGGTCTGAAGTCCATCTTGTGACGTTTTGGGGCTCTCGGGCGAAGTGGAGGCCATCGGGGGCCGTCCGTGAGGAGCTGGGATTTCTTTCGAGGTTATCTCATGCCGTCGGGGAGCATTTGTGGGGCAGTCGAGGCAGCCAGATTTTTTTGCACACGAGCACGCACCCGACCGAGCTTCTGGGTGAGGAGTCGGGGGAGGCGCAACACTCAATAGCACGCCGAGTTGATCCTAAGCGGTCGGCGAATTCTTGGCCTCATGGGGCGCCCTGGTCGCCATGGCAGGATTCAGGCCCAAGGACCCTCACTTATCGATCGCTCTCAAGAAATCTCACGTCAACGTTCGGGTCGAGGGCTCGGGTAGTGTTTTTTTCGCGACGTCGCGATTTGTCCACGGTGTCGACGCGAGCGCCTCTGGGAGCCCGCTTCTCAAAGGACCGCGGTCTGCAGACGCGGAAAAGTCAGACCAGCTTCCGTCGTGAACTTGTTCAACATGCTGGAGGTCAAGGGTCTGGGGACAGCGACGGCGGCGACGGCGGCGGCGACGACGACGACGACCTGACGACGACGACGACGACGACGACGACGACGACGACGACGACGACGACGACGACGTTGACGACGACCCCCGCGAGGTGCTCCGTGCGCGGGCCCTCCCGAAGGGCCTCGACCTTGCCCGGCTGCAGGGCGCGCTGCTAAGCTGCGTGGAGGGTCTGTACCGGGACCGGGTGCGCCCTGACGTCGGCGAGGCACCCCTCTTTCGGGGCTCAGGAGGCGGGGGTCAGTCGGAGCGACGGATCTTGCAGGATCCTGCAGGGCCAGGCTTGCACTGACCCAGGCTGGGGTGCAGGATCCTGCAAGGCCTGACTGACCCAGGTCTGGATTGACCCGAGTCAGTAGATATCCGATCTCTCGTTCTTTCTTCTTCTTCTTTTTTTTTTGTCTCTCTCTCTCTCTCTCTCTCTCTCTCTTTCTTTTTACCTAACAGCTTTTGCTGATAGGTTTCTAGTGGTTTCAAAAGAAAGCATCTGGACTCCACAGGGGGGTCTGGGCGGGTGCCGGGGAGGAGGGCCGGGAATCGTTATTCGCCAACAGTCACGCACTTCGTGCTCTTCGACCTCCCAGAACTCCATTCCCGGGACACATTCTGGAGAACCGGGAACAGAGCCGGGTTCGATTTTTGCCAACAGTCACACACTTCGTGCTCTTCGACCTCCCAGAATTCCATTCCCGGGCCACATTCTGGAGAACCGGGAACAGAGCCGGGCTCGTTTTTCGTCAACAGTCACACACTTCGTGCTCTTCAACCTCCCAGAACTCCATTCCCGGGCTAAATTTTGAGTGCCCGGAGCCAACTGTAGGCCACTTCGTGCTCTTCGAGTTCCCAGAATTCCATTCCCGGGCCACATTTTGGATGCCCGGAGCCAACTGTAGGCCACTTCGTGCTCGATCTTTGATTTCCCAGAACTGCATTCCCGGGCCACATTTGGGATGCCCGGAGCCAATTGTAGGCCACTTCGTGCTCTTCAAGTTCCCAGAATCAATTCCTGGGCATGGTTTTGAATGCCCGGAGCCAACTGTAGGCCACTTCGTGTTCTTCTAGTTCCCAGAACTCCACTCCTGGGCCACATTTTGAATGCTGAGGCAGGCTGATGCTGCGGCCGAGGCAGGCTGAGGCTGAGGCAGGGTGAGGCTGAGGCCGAGGCTGAAGGCAGACTGAGGCTGAGGCTGAAGCAGACTGAGGCTGAGGCTGAGGCAGGCTGAGGCTGAGGCTGAGGCTGATGCTGAGGCTGAGGCTGAGGCTGAGGCTGATGGCTGAGGCTGAGGCAGAGGCTGAGGCCGAGGCAGACTGAGGCTGAGGCTGAAGCAGGCTGAGGCTGAGGCTGAGGCAGGCTGAGGCTGAGGCAGGCTGAGGCTGAGGCTGAGGCAGGCTGAGGCTGAGGCTGTGACTGCGACTGCCGTTGCCGCTGCGACTGTCATCGCGAATGCGACTACGACTGCGAGAACAGCAGAATTCTACAACTGGATTTTCATCTTAATCTTAAGGGGAATGCTTTCAGATATGCTTCTACATATCGCTGTTAGGTTGCTTTGCCGGGAAAATCTCTTTCTGTTCATGCATGTATGTATGTGTATAGTATCGAAGACGCCTACGGCGAATCACCGCCGCCCCCTGCTTGTTGAAATCGCCCATGTGGCCGAGCGTTGTGGCAAGAGCTCTGCCAAGCTATCGGACCATGTGTTCCCCCAACCGTTGTGGAAACCCTTCGGGGAACATTTGGGGGAGGATGGTGGGGAAGATCAGGAGGAGGATAGGGAGCTTCACCGAATGCGCCACTGGCAGGGTTCGCACGGCGGCCTCGGGCCATTTCGGCACACCCCTCACGAGGACTGGCCCCATAGGGAGCTCCACCGAAGGCCCCCACTGGCAGGGTTCGCATGGCGGCCACGGGCCATTTCGGCCCCCAACCCCCCCCCACGAGGATCGTGGCCCCATAGGAAGCTCCACCGAAGGCCCCCAGTGGCAGGGTTCGCATGGCGGCCACGGGCCATTTCGGCACACCCCTCACGAGGATCGTGGCCGCATAGGGAGCTCCACCGAAGGCGCCAGTGGCAGGGTTCGCATGGCGGCCTCGGGTTTTTTTGGGGGCACACCCCTCACGAGGATCGTGGCCCCAAAGGGAGCTCCACCGAAGGCCCCAGTGGCAGGGTTCGCATGGCGGCCTCGGGCCGTTCCCCCCCCCCCCACACGAGGATCGTGGCCGCATAGGGAGCCCCACCGAAAGGGTTCGCATGGCGGCCTCGGGCCGTTCCCCCCCCCCCACCACCACACGAGGGTCGTGGCCGCATAGGGAGCCCCACCGAAGGCCCCAGTGGCAGGGTTCGCATGGCGGCCTCGGGCCGTTTCGGCACGCCCCTCACGAGGATCGTGGCCCCACAGGAGCTCCACCGAAGGCGCCAGTGGCAGGGTTCGCATGGCGGCCTCGGGCCGTTGCGGCACACCCCTCACGAGGATCGTGGCCCCATTGCCATAGTTGTGCTGCTTCAACAACCGCGCCTGGGCGTCGTACTCCGCCTTGTCGACGTGCAACGCCACCTCCTCCCTAATGGTTCGTAAAGCCCTCCCCTGCTTCTTCTCCTCGGTCAGAGGGGCGCCGTCCTTGTCGTCGTCGGCGCCCGCGAAGACGGCCACGAACGCGTTCCTGAGCATACCGGGCTCCGGCGGGAAGCCGTGGCCACATTGGGAACGCGGGCGAAGATGGTATTCACACTTGTGGTATTCACAACTGTATATGGTTGGGTCTTTCGCTAGTTTACCTGCTGATCTCCAGTTTCTAAGCTGGGAATGTTATACTCTGTGTGAAGATGGGTGTGTTTTGCCTGTTTATTTGCAGCTAGGAACGTAGTGGATAAGCAGCTGGAGAGGTAGAGACATCATGATAGATGCCGTGGCCAATTCTTTCAAGGGTTTCATTGGATCCCCTTCTGAGCTATCACCGGTAACACGTTATCATATTTTTGCTTCGGCGATTCCCTGATTTCATCCAGCTGGTTGTGCGAGGTCGGTTACCTTTTTCTCATATTGCTCGACTTCGCGAAGCTTCCAGCGGAGAGGAGAATAGACTGGCCAGTCTCACTGTCATTGGCACTTGGCATTGTTCTGAGGCGATCTTAGGGGCTGTTTGGGCCAGCTTGGGCCGATGGCAGCCCGAAAAGGCGTGGCCGCTTACATTTTTCAAGCACGATCGGAAAATCATTGATTCTGTCCTTTCGACACCCTTTTGGCATTGCTCTTGTAGCCCTCATGGTGTGTTTCGGAGGCGTTTTGAATCGTCCAGAGGCCATCCTGGGCACCTTGAGCTACGTTTGTTTCGGCGACTTGGGCCCTCTTGGGCCGCCCTGGGGGCCTCTTGGAGGCCCTCCCGGCCCATCTTCGGGCCCCCTGGCTTCCGACAGATAATTTGAAGCCGCGCGCCAAGCCCAGGGAGGGCTGGGTATGCAAATTACGCAGTTCGATTTCGTGTTGTCGCTGTCGTAGGGTCATTTTGAGATCGCGTCCCGGCCCTGCCGGGGACATGGTGTCGTGTTTTGGTTTGTTTTGTTTCGACCAGGTTGAGCCCGCCTGGGGGCCATCGCGTGGTCATTGAGACGTTTTTCGATCGCCCGCTCGTTGCAGATATGCTCGGTCGCCTCGGGGTAACCCTATGGGCTGCCGAAAGTCACGTCGTGATCATGTGCGGATCACTGGGCCCTCTTCGGTTCGCCCTGAGGGCACGGTGGGTTCGCGTTGCGCTGACGCCGCCCGGTTGCATCGGCCAGTATGGGACGACGATCGGAAGGCCGCCAATCGTTCAGGGTTTAACGAACCACGCGATGTCGGAAACCAACCTTAGGGTCGTCGCGACACGAATCCGTTGCATTGTCGGGCCGCTTGCTGTTTCGAGGCCATCTTGGAAGCGCGTTGGGGTCGCGGGGCCGCCTTGGAATCGGTGTGGGTCCTCTTGAGGGTTCACGCGTTTCCTAGGAATGTTTTGCTGCGGCCAAGTAAGTGTCCACCTTTACTCCGCTGCCCCGTCTGGTTCCCCAGAGCCGTCGGTGACGATGGGCTGTTAAATGTGAGCCACCTGACAGTTGTCCTCCATTTTCCGTCGTCTTCCTTGCACTGCTCTCCTCGTCCTCCTGCTCGTGCCGTCGACGTTGGCCGCCGCTCCTCCTCCCAAGTCGTGCTGACCGCTGCCGCTGATCGCTGTTGCGTCTCTTGTCGGCCGCGGCTGCTGGCGGCTGCGCTTTGGCCTGCCGTGGGTGGCAGGTGCTGTTGCTGTTGCTGCTGACCGCCGGCCAGTCCTCCTGCTCCTCCTGTGCCCCTCCTGCTTCTGCTACGTAGGGCTGGCGCGTCCTTGGTCAATTCTTTGAATCGACCATGGACACGAGGGATGCTGGGGGGATGTCCGGGGTTCCGCTTGACTCTCTCGCGAGACCCGCCGGCGGGGTCGCGTCCGGTTTGGCCGGTTCGGTTCGGCGAGCCGGTTCGGTCTGGCCGGTGCGGTTCGTCGGGCCAGTTCGGTCCGGTTCTGCCAGTTCGGGTCGAGGGCCGGTCCGGTTCGGCCAGTTCGATTCGAGGGGCGGTTCTTGGTCTTCGGTCCGGTTCGCGGCCATCATGATTCTATTGTGCCGCCAGGTCCGATTCGGTTCCCTCGTTGCCGTGGTCTCTTCGTGTCAAGGCCCCTCCAGTTTTCGGGCCTCGCGATCTCTGGGCTCCTCCCGCTCTCCTGCTGCTCCTCCTCTGCCGCCCCCGCTCTGGCGAGGTGCAGCGGCGCCTGCGTGGGTGCGGTTGGCAGGCCCGCGAGGCGGCTGGCCCCGTGCGTCGGTCTTTTGCTGTGTGTGTGTGTGTTTGCGTGTGTGTGTGTGTGCGTGTGCGTGTGTGTGTGTGTGTGTCGTGTGTGTGTGTGTGTGCGTGTGTGTGTGTGTGTCGTGTGTGTGTGTGTCGTGTGTGTGTGTGTTTGCGTGTGTGTGTGTGTGTCGTGTGTGTGTGTGTGTGTTTGCGTGTGTGTGTGTCTCTGTGTGCGTGCGTGTCAGCGGCGAGCCCAGGTGGGGGAGTGAGAGTGGGCGGGCCTTCTCAGGAGGCTCGGAAGTCCCCCTGACTTCTGAGAAGTCTGCTTAAGCTCTCCCCGAAGACAGAAACTTTTCAGAAGGCGCGAGGGTTTCTGAGAAGTCACGCCGCCTTTGAGAAGGCCTTCTCCTTCTCATTTCCCCCTTCGCTTGGCGCCGAGTGTGTGTGTATGCGCAGTGTGTGCTCTACAGCTGCTCAGGCGTCAGCCAGCGTGGACCTCAAACAATAAGGTATGTGTAAGCCATGCCGTGCAGGCTACGTGTTGTATGCCACGTGGCGCATGTATGCTTTGCAAGCTGTGTAGTGTGAGCTAGGTGGTGCAAGTTGTGTGGGGCAAGCTGTGTGGCGTGGGCTGTGACGTGCAGGTGTACGCTATGTGGTTTGAGCTGTGTGGTACAAGCTGTGGTGTGAACCTTGTGGTGTGAACCTTGTGACCTGAGCTATGTGGTGTTAAGCTATGTGGTGCAGCTATGGGGTACACGCCATATGGCGAAAGCTATGCGACCGCCCAGCGCGCGAGGTGCCCACGAGTGGCCCACCGGCGCCCACCAGCGGGTACGACCCGAAGTCTCGGCCTGTATGGTCTAGATCCCGCTCGTTTCTCGTCGTTACCGCCCTCTCCCCTCATCCGCCTTCCCCTGGTCCTCCTGCTCCTCTCTTATCGTTCTTGTCTTCCTCCTGCTCATCCGCCTACCCATTTGCAACATCCTCGTCCTATGTGCACCCCAGCGTTGCCGATTGCGCATCACACCAGGCGGCCAGTTTCGGGATCAATGTCCTCTAGGGTCTAGGGCACTTCAGCCAGCGGATTGCACACAATTCAGTGCAATGATAGGGGACAGATGGGAGGGGTAGGATGTCAGGTGTGGCGATATCTCGCCTACAGTCAATCATCATAGTAAGGAAAGGGTACCCTTGCATCCTTGCCCCTTCGGCCTATCCTTAGCGACTTTCGCTGGTCAGCCTCCTTCGACACACGCTAACCCTTGCGTCCTTTCCGCGCATCCTTCTGACACGGGCTGACTGTAGCTTTCCCTCTCTTCTCTCCTCCCCCCCCTCGCCCTGCCCCCCGTGGCCCCCTTCTCCGCTCTCTTCCTCCCGTGCGCCCTTGCCCTCTGCCCAAAGAGGGCCCCCGAGGCCCCCTGCAGGCCGCACGAGGCCAATAACGATTCCTCGCCAAACTCGGTGAGGAGGAAGAGGAGGAGGAAGAGGAGGAGGATCGAGATCGAGGGGGGAGCATCACGTTCCTCGCGAGGAACGAGATCCTTCTCCTCGATCCTCGGCCTTTCTTCCCGTCGAGGTGCTGGTAAGGACTTGGGCACAGTTTGGCCTCTTGCGGAGGAACGAAAGATGGGATCCCTCCTCCTTCGATCGAGCTCCTCCGAGATGGCCCCAAGGTGCCCTCCAAGGCTCTCAAGAGCGCCCCAGGAGGTCCCCAAGAGGCGCCTGGGAGGCGCCCAGGAGGCCCCGACGGGTCCCGGAGGTCTCCAAGAGGCTTCCATCCAAGAGATCCATCCCTTCTCGGAGAAGGGGGCCGCAAGGACCTCGGTCCTCGGTCATCATTTCTCCTCCTCCTCCTCCTTTTCCTGGATCCTTGATTCATTGGCTGACACCGCACCGCCGACCCCTTCAGACAGGTGCAAATTGTTTCCTTAAATTTGGTTCCTGGGGAGGAGCGGGCACGGAGGGGAGACGAGGGGTCCAGGCGTGGGCCGGGGGGAGGAGGGGTTTGGGGCCCAGCGGCTTCTTATAATACTAATTCAGGGTGCCCCTCTGCTACAGGGCGCAGGGGCGTAGATGCGCCGTGCACCACCTTTAATTAATATTATAATACGAGTAGGGGCGGCGAACCCGCGATCGCCGATCCGTGTCGTTTTATAAGGTCCGGCGCCAGACCGCGGTGGTTCCAGCTTGGTTTCACGATGGTCCCGAGAGATTGACATGTCACGAAACCTTATGAATTCATAGGTTTCCTGCTTGGTTCCACGATGGTTCCGACGCAGCAAGTGTGACGAACCCCTATGAATTCACATGGTTTTTGCTTGGTCCCACGATGGTTCCGACGTCGCAAGTGTAACGAAACCCTGTGAATTCACAGGGTTCCTACTTGGTTCCGCGATTGTTCCACGATGGTTCCGACGTTGCAAGTGTGATGGAAACCTATGAATTCAAAGGGCTCCTGCTTGATTCCACGATTGTTCCACGATGGTTCCGACGCATCAAGTGTGACGAATCCCTATGAATTCAAAAGGGTCCCTGCTTGGTTCCACGATGGTTCCACGATGGCTCCGACGTCGCAAGTGTGACGAAACCCTATGAATTCAAAGGGTTCCGATTTCGTTCCGCGATGGTTCCGTAGCCATTTTGGCTCAAGCACTCTGGCGCTAGTTCTTCGGGATACCATGTCCAAGCGTGCAGGCGCAAGCACAGGTTCAACACCGGATAAGAAGGGAACGAAGAAATTAGAGGCCATCGAGAATGGGTCGAGCGACGAGGGCATGTTGTCCGGGGCGGTGGTACGGTGGTCGGGGCGGATGCGCCGGAGTGGTTCCAGAACTTCGAGGTCCGGCAAAATAGAAGGTTCGACAAGATCGCAAATAAGGCCCGTAAGTTAAAAAAGGCGATCAAGGAGGCGAAGGAGGAGGTGGATGAGGTGAAAACTACGATGGAGGAGGTGCAGGAGGAGGTGGAAGATCTCGAGATCGATATGACAAATATGAGATCGGATATGGATTTATTCGTAACGGAGGAGGTCCTGACGAAGACGATGGAGGAGTACACTTCGATGGAGGAGCTGCAGCAGACAGTCGAGATCATGGTAGCAGGGGAGGTCCGGGAGGCGTTGGATAAGTTGCGGGAGGAGGGTGGCAGGACGAAGCAGCAGAAGGACGAGGTCGAGGGGGAGGAAGGGGAGGAGCAGGGAGAGAACCGCCGGCACTTGCAGATCGTTGTGGGCGGTTTCGAGAATGGCACGGACGGGGACGAGGTGGTCGAGAGCATTACGAAGTTTCTCTAGGAGGGGACTCGCAACCAGAAAGTCAAGAGGGCGTTCACGTTCACAAGCCCTACTAACATGGGAGTGGTGGAAATTGAGACCGAAGCAGCGAAGATTGGGTTCTATCGAAAGATTCGGGGAGCGGACAAGAGAGTTGACGGGAGGGGCCTCTGGTATGTTAACAATCGTACGTACGAGGAGCGAGTCCGAGACAAAACCTTGGGGTGAGTAAAATACCATTTGGTTGAGGGCGCTCAGATCCCAGAGCAAGATATCCGCATCAATTGGAAAAACGGTGTTGTATCCATCAAGATCAAAAAAATTGCGTGGCTCACTGAGGACATGGAGTTGTGCGCCTCCGGCGAGGCGGTGGCTGTCAAGCAGACGGTCGAGGGCAGCATGAACGAATGATGGGAAAAGAAGAGGGAGGGACGGATGGGGGCAACCCCGCACGTCGTAGCTACATAGTTTGTACCAGTACGAGGATGTCACCACAGGCCTCAACAAGGACACGTGCGCCAGGACTGTCGAGGATAGGTTTTTGGGCGAGCGCTGGAGGTGGTCGGGGGGTGCTACGCGAAGTTTGCGGGGATCTGCCTGCTCGCTTGGGGCCGCCAGCGGCGCCAACTACTGAGGGGGCGATTGAGGCAGACGCCAAAGAGCGAACAGAAGGGCACGAGAAGTTCATTATGTACTGCAAGAACGCGCAGTCCATCAAGTCTGAAGATCGTTTCCATGAGCTCTGTACAGAACTGGAATATTTGAAAGCATGGGATGTTGTTTTTGTCAGTGAGTCTTCGAGAGAACGAAAAGAGAAGCAAATTGTAACCGAGAGTGGAGACTCATTCATGGGATCAGGGGGGTCTACGAATCAGCGCGGAGTTGCGATTTTATTGCATCGAAAATGGTCGAGCACAGTCTGGGTATTCACAGCATTCAGTGAAAGATTGTGTTGGGCAGACGTGGATATCGGAAGGCTGTCTTTCCGGTTGGTCTCCATGCACATGCCGCATTCGCGGGGCGACGACGGCGGCGCGGAGAAGATGCGCGACAAACTTTCGGAGCTGAAGTCTGGAGCTGCCAGGGGAGATATCATTTTCATATATGCTGGCGATGGGGATGCGGTCGCGGGAAAAAATGCGACTTCGAGGAACCGGCGCTGCGCTGGAGAGCGCGGCCTGGGCGCGCGGAGCCCGAGAGGGGGCATGCTGGTGAGATGGGCGGCATCCGAACACCTCTCGATCACAAATGCGTTTTTCCCCGAAGCATTCTCCAAGACTTGGGCGCGCGTTGCAAACCGCCGCCAGAGGCAGAGTGTTTACTTTTGCGTTGATGCGAGGGCCATGGGCATGACGAAAGATTCTGAAGCAAATGGTGACATTGGAGTGTTGTTGGACCACAGAGCGGTCAAATTGTCACTGCAGTTTCCTGGGCGCAGACAGAAACGCACGAGCAAAAATAGCGCGAAAAATGTCGATTGGCGTTCTGTCGACGCACAGAAATTTGAGCATGCGGCAACGGCGGCTCTCCGGAGCAAGTTGGGCAGCACTCCTGGCGACGAGTTGGTTGCATCGACAATGTGTGGCGCCATTGACGGCGCTCTCGACGAGGCAACTCCGGCGCGTGCAGCGAAAGGGCCGGCCCCGAAGAAGCGGCCGGAGCTGCCGCTCTCGATCCACGAGCTCATCAACGATTGGAGGGGGGCCAAAGCGGCCCAGGGAGAGATCGACCACCGGTCTCTG